AACACTTGGGAGGTGGAGATAAGTGGATGCCTGCGGTTCACTGGCTAGCTAGCCCAGAATAATTGTTGAGTTCCAGGCCAGTGAAGACCTCTAGCCTCTATGTGTACATACACACACACACACACACACACACACACACACACACACTCCAGATCTGGGTATGGGTAGGGTGTGTATAATCATGAGTGAAACTACAACTTCTTTGATCTTGATCTTGAGTTTGCTCACTTAGAAAACAGGGTGACAGTCCAACCATAAGGAATCATGATGGAAAACCGCAGTCTTGCCTCTCTGGAGTCACCACCCAGAGGTGATTCAGGGCAGTAACTTGTGTGCCTAACTTGTGCTAAGCCTTCCATCCACAGGGCGAGGCCTGGGGACTAGAGTGGAGGGGCAGTTCACGCCAGACTCCACATCCTCCTCTTGCCATCCATGCTGCGGCTGTGTATGCCACATGGGCTTTCTCTGTGCCACCTTTCCTCTCCACTGAGAAGAATTTTCCTTAAAGATGCTGTAACTGGCCTCCACTGCCTCCTGACCACCCCTGATTGCCCACTTCATCTATCCTCACTCATCTCTAAAGACTGAGATAGGATGGACAGCTGGGTCTTCTGCTCTATCTACCTACAACACCTTCCTTTTACAAACCACCCCTCAAAGTAGGTATCCTTATCATCTCTTTTCAGAAGATCCTGGCTCCCATTTTCAACTTCCTAAGTCCTGCTCATTCTCTTCTGCTTGGAACCACCTAGTCGAGTGAGGAGACTGAAGTCTACCTCACGCTCTGCTCCCGTGCCCCTGGAGTTTCCTATGGAAGTACAGGTGGTGATCTGATAAAATCCAATCATCCTCCACATCCCTAAGTCAGGACCATGTTAACAGTCGAGCAACCTTGCTCTGACCTAATCTACATCATCAGGAAGAGGTCTGTCAAGAGATGTTCAGGCTCAAACATGGGTCTCATCCCAGATGCATGAGATGGACCTGGGATAAGTATTGCTGTGCAGCAGTGTGCCAAAGTAGATAATCCAGAGAATTTTGTTTTTCCAGCGGTCTTCAAGACAATAAAGGCAGGAGAGAGAAGCAAAAGACAGGGTGGCAGGCTGTCTTTCCCAGAGAAAAAGTGGAAAGAGAAGGGCACACATTGAAGAATATGTTTCAGGGAGGCCTCTACAGAATTCCAATCATCTTCATTTCCTGGGGTAACAGCTCTGAATGGCCCCTCAGGTTGATTAAAAGGCTTTTGTTAGACTCTAGTTATTAATCACCTGCAGATGCTGGGAATGTGTCCCTCTGCGAGGGAGCATTTGAGATTATTGCTTAATTAACAAGGTTTATAACAGTGCTAATGTGTCCTATTAAAAAAAAGTTATAAAAATTAACTAGAACGCAATGCTGCGGCTCATTTAGAAAGCTCAGACACTGTGTAAAAGGTCATCGGACCTTAATAGGGTTTAACTGCCATTTCAGAGCTTGTCATCAGAGCAAGACCCGGCTCTGTCCTCCAGCTTTCATCTTCCTATAGCAGGGTCAGCGTTTCCCCATCGTTCTGCTATCTGGGAGGGGATGATTTCAACATCAAAGAGATGAGAAAATCCTTCCAATGCCATGAGTGTGAAGGCTTCTGCCACTTTTATATGCCCAAAGTGACAAAGTATGCTCCCATCACACACAAAACAAATACCAACAGTCCCAGTCCTGCCAGACAGCTTGCCCAGGAGGAACCAGGTAAATACAAGCTGGCCTCATCCAGATAATTTGGCTAAAAATGGTGACTTGTGGTGAGATGGCACACAGACCTCAAACCTGCCTGGCTACAGTGAAAAAATAAAACATCAACCTCATATTTCAGTACGGCAAGATACTCCTGCTGACACCTGAAGCCTGCCACCCTAGTTTGGCTTGGCTCACTCTGCCGTAGCTGAGGGTCCTAGAAAACCTCCAAGAAAAAAGAGCTCAGCCAGATAATGGGTGATCCAGGACACATGGTAGAAGCATCCAGCTACACTAAGAGGTCATGGAGTCTCCTGGAGGGATAAGACCCCAGGCAAATCTGCTGCAGTAGCTAGCACAACAGGACAGGTAGAGGGGCTGTGGCTATTCCAGGCATGAGGAGTAACACTTGCAAATCCCCCGAGGCAAGAGAGAGTGAGGCTTGTTCAGTTCACTCTGCTAATAACTAAAAGCTACAGCCAGAGCTATAGCCAGTGGCCAGGCTGTGAACATGCCCGTGTGTCATGCTAAGTTTACCCTCTAATCATGGGGACTCTGAACTGGCTGGGTAGTAAGAGATCATATCTGTCTTCTGAGAGCTCACCCTGATTACATAAGAAGAGTCTGGAGGCTTTGGGAAAAAGTACCCAGTTAGGCCTGAATTATGAGAGTAGTGGGTCTGAGAGGTGTCAGAAACAGGAAGGATGGAGAGGCAGGACCATGGGAGGGGGATACACCTGTCTGGTTGTGCTATTCATTAAGAGGGAACACAGAGGCTGAAGACTGCATGGGAAAGGTCAGTACTCTTAACTGCTTACTGTATGTAAGCCCTGAACAAGATGTTCATAAAGCTTCTAATGGAGACGAGGCAGAAAGGTAACCATCAAATAAGTAAGAAATGCTGTGCAGAACCTTTAACAGGGGCAGTGTAACAGACAGCAGTGGAGGCAGGAGGATGACTAGGAACTTGTGATCAGCTTGGTCTCTACAGTAAGACCCTGTCTCAAAAAACAAAAACAATAATAAAGCACATAGGTTTTCAGCCAAGGCAACAAAAGAAGAGGGGGGAATGATTAGTACATGGCTAAAGACTCATATTATCTGAAGAGAGAAAGGGAAAAGCCATACCTAGTGTGGGGCAGGGTTTATTCCAGCATCTCAGGGCTTCATGTGTTCAACCCTTGTTCAGTGCTGGTACTGCACTTGGCAATGAACACAGGGGAGTCAGCTACACTTGCTTGTACCAGAGGCAGAGTGTGGCAGTTAACCTCATACCCAAACATGACAGTTATCTGAGGGTACCTGCTGAGTCACATGCTGTCAAGGCACACAACTGGAGGTTGGCACTGCCTGGGTGAGGCAGGTCTGCCTTCCCGAGAAGGCTTTTCTCAGAGCAACCTCCTGAATAAAACTGCCCCATTGCAGATATCAGCCAACTAAAAGTTATCTCTTACTATCTAAAAGTAGCTGGCTGCCTTCTTCAATTCCTCATGGGCTAGCCAGAAGGGGAGACACCTGTGTTACATGGGAAAGGCTGCAGACCAGAGTAAGAATGTGTGGGTTTGAATCCAGACTCAGACACGTTATAGCTGTGGCTGTAGCTTGGCTGCATAATCATTGTCTTGCTACACTGACCTCTAGAACATACGCTATAACTGCACATTTCCCAACCTTAGTCTATGACAATGCTGGCTCTCCTTGATCTCTCCAGGGGTCACCCCACCAACTGATGGCCTCTGGGGCCTACTATTCCTTTCACTTACTTGTCAGACTGGCTCTCGCCCACCTTGCTGACCTCACTCTCAACTGTAAGGCCACTTCTCGTGGTCTCTGTGCTGCAGCTCATTCAGCCTGACCCACTAGTCCTCCAGCCGTCACAGGCTGTCTTTTCCAGTGTACCTCTCAGCTGGATGCCGTCTGTTCCAACAGGCCTTCTCCCCAACAGAGCTGATGCCATCAGCCCTTTGTCTCATCACTATTGCGTGGTACTCAGAGGACCCAGAGTTGCCTGACTGCATCACAGACACATTTGTCATTTGAACCCAGAATGTACTCAACTATAGCACCTGCTCAAACAGGACATTTACCTAACTGAGTCTTACTTCCTTGATCAAAATGTGGCAGACCTGGTCATTTAGAGAACAGTGATTAGGAAAAGACACCAAAGCCACCCTTGTCCTCCTGGATTTCCTCCTACTGTTATAACCTGGGAAAAAGTACCTACTACCTCCGTGGCCCAGTTTCTTTAATGGTAAAAAGGATAGTAACAGCAGCCAACAGTAGGGACGTTGAGAGGATAGTGAGTTAATATATTTAAAATGGTTTAGGACAGATATTGTTTTTAATAAGATGGGTTATAACAATTACTCAGAATAATTAGCAGTTACTATATTCACTCTTCTCCTTATACTATACTCCTTACTTTGTGGTGACTGTACAGTACTGTTCATACATATATATGTATGTATGTATGTATTCCTCATGAGACTGATCTCCTTGTAGATGCTATCTGTGTCTTGTCTTTTGTGTTCTCAAAACCCAGGAGAGGGTCTAGGAAAGAGTAAGAACTTAGGGAATGGATGGGGGAGAGAAATAAGAGAGTGAGAAGGTAAGAAAATGGAGGAAGGAAAGAAGGAAGGAGGGAGGGAGGGAGGGAGGGAGAGAAGATGGATAGGGAGTATGGGGTAATATCATATCTTTGGGTGGCAAATGACTCCCTGATTCTCTGCCCGCCTTCCCCAACACCAGGAAGGAAGCTGTATCAACTGCTGCTTGTCTCACTGTTCTAGAAATGGCTAAAGTGAGAAGTTTCCCCCAGCCTTGACTTTTACTGCTCCCTAGACATGTCCCTTCCCATCTGCACTGAGATGGGTCAGGCTCAGAGCACCCATGTAATAACACGAATGCAGTTCGGACACTTCTGCCTCCTGAGCTACCTCTGCACCCTCACCCCACCTCCTGCTGATGAGCACTGAAGGCCCTATTCGGCAACCTTCTCTCCCTGGGATTCTCCCCAGCTTTTCCTCCCCTCCTGACAATTCCCAGCACGACCACTGTCCCTCTTGCATGGTATGCTACACCCTTGAGTTACATTTGCGTCCATATTCACTTGTCCTGTCCAGTGTGAGATCTCTGGTGGCAGTTAGGATGTCTGCCTCTATGCTCCTGTGTCCACTGGGGGCCTGGCATACAGGGGCTTCAGTAAGCCTTTACCGAATTGAAACAATACATTTCTGACAGAGTAAAGGACAGGATGTCCAGCATTGTGCTTCCACTGGGTATGCTACCTCTGACGATGCTGAGCTTGTGAGGAGAGAGGGGTGGCTTCGGGATTGCATCCTTCTTTTTTTTTGTGGCGACTCCTGTGACGCTTCTGTTTTTCAGAACATCTGTTCCCCAGATCATGACTGCCAAGTTCTTCGTGTACTTAGAATCGCCTTGGGTTACTTGTAGCTGGTGCCATTTCTCCTCATCAACCCAAATCCCGCTTCCCAGATGAACCTGAAAGAGATAACACCACACCTGTTTAGTCCCACCGGAAGGCAGCTGGAGGAGGCTGCTTTTGTCCTTTAAAAACACTGCTTCTCCACTATGAGGGGTCACGCCACAGATTCTATAACAGCATCACTTACAGAGCTCTTGCAATACAGCAGGCCTTAGTCTAAAGTTCTGACGTCACTCTCTTAAACAGAAAGTGCTATGATACACTTGTCACTTCCAATGGGAATCCAAGTTCAGTTATGTGAAGTGACTTTGGAAGTCACTCAACTGGTGACTGGCACATCTGGGATTCTGAACTGCATTTGTGTTATCACATGGGTGCTCTGAGCCTGACCCATCTCAGTGCATTATGCGCTCGTGTGTGTCATACTCTAGAAATATTAAACCTCTTCTACCTGCACGTTCGGAGGCTCACCTCTTGCTAACACGGTGGAGGCTGCCTGCAGGACTCACCCAGCTATAGCATTCACTGGTGCCCAGGCCTTCTCTCCAAGATTCTCAACTGTTTGGTCTGGGTGTGGCTCAGACACTAGGATGGTTTAGCTCCCTAGATAGTTCCAATTTAGAGCTAAGCTATAAATCCCTGGCAGCTGGCAGGAGCAGAGCAGCTGCCTGGCTCTGCAGCCAGCAGGAGTGGAGCTGGGCGAGTCCTTCTCCAGCTAAAACTGCAGCTTCCCTATCTACGAAGTGGAAGACAAATTGCATCTCAAAGTTCATCTCTCTGGCTCAGAACACCTAGGATTTTAAGAAATTAAATGCAATCACAATGTATCCGGTTTGATTTTGGTAGTACACACACCAGAACACAATCTCTTGATTCCTAGAAGAGAAACAGCCAGAGTGATAGTGAAAACCAAGAAATCACTGTACCATCTCTGCTTCCAGCAATGAACTAAAAAATTTGTCCCCAGTTGTGGCCCTTAACAACTTATAAACTAATATTAATGTTCATCATTAAAAAAAAGTTTTGACCTTGACATAGCAATTTAGGTTGAGTTTCTGTTGAGCATGTGGAGGACAGAAACAGCCTCTGTGGGATGGAGAGGAGAGGCCTGCCAGCAGCTGACCCTTCCAATGGGTGTGAAAAGGCTCTGTCAAAGGCCTTTGTTTTCATCACCAAGGAATGGTTACGGGGGCATCTTGTAGAGGTCCTGTCCAAAGCGGGCGAGCGCGCACGCGCACGCACACACACACACACACACACACACACACACACACACACACACACACACACACACACACAAACTGATGGCAGAATGAAAGAACAATTGCTCAAGAAATGATTAAAGATTCTTCTACTCAAACTTGGCTTGGGAAGAAAGGTGGACACAGAGATGGGCAACCAGGTCAGCCAGGAATACTTCATCAATTGCTGAGGTTTTCTAACTACCAAAACAAACAACCAGGCAACTAACTCACTCTAAGTAAATGTTCTACAGGTCACTTCTAGCTTCACCTCCTTTGCTCAAAAGATTGTTCAGCCCACTGTATGAGCACAGACAACCAGATCTACCTGGCCTCTCTGTGGGAGCACTTCAGTACTGCAAATCAGCTTGTTCTGCTCAGCCAGATAGCAGCCATGGGGTGAGACGTGCTGCCTGGGGCTGGCTAAGCAACCAGAGCCCAAGACCAAATTTGGCCTTATTCCCTGTTCACGTCTGAACTGCAGGTGGGCAGTCTGAGCCTGGTGAGCAGGCACGATAAGTGCAAGGTCCCTACTGGAGCTGAGTTCCTCCCTTGATGATATTCTGAAGCACCCTCACAAGCTTCTGGAGATGGGAGGGAGACAAGGGACTTTGCTCTAGACTAGATCCTGAAATAGAAATGCCCAGACATATGCAGCAATTCTTCTGCATCAGCCTTTGACTACTGGAATCATAAGCCTACACTACAACACCTGGCTTAATTTATTACTCTTGGATAGAGATGAAGTCATGCAAGCCAATGTTCTAGAAGAAAAAGGAGCCATATTATTGAGTACCTATAATGAACTCAACTTCCTTATTCCTCATAAAGTCCTTAGGAGTTAGAAGCAGGCAGAGATTTCTGCTCTCATTTTACACATGTGAACACAAATTTGGGGGGAGGGGACTAAATTACTTTCCCCAAGACACACAATCAACCAATTTTAAAAAAATCTAGATTCAGTCCCAAATCTGTGTAGCCAAGTTCATGCCCTCCTGGCCTGTCCTGACATAGTCTGAGTGCCAAGGTGTGGCTAATGTGTTTGGAAAGTGCACACCTAACACAGCAAGGACTGCTTATTATAGGTTTCCCTTGGAATCTTCTGCACCTGCAGGCCACACCCTGCACCAGCTCCCAGGACAGTATACCACAAGCACATGGAAACTGGCAAAGGGCCTGGCTTTCTTGCCAGTGGCTGCTCCATCCAACTCACCCTGTAATCACCGACATCCACTTCCCTAAAACACTGCTTTCCTGTGCCGACTAGACAGCCTCAGCAGTCTTCAGCTCTGTGTTTTCATGTCAACCCTTTAGCATTTGAAATGGCTCCTTATTTCTTATCACATAAGATCTGACTCCTCAGCCTGGCTCCAGTCTATCACTAACCCAGTAAGTCCGCCTGTCTATAAGTCTGCAAACACATCTACCTTGTCCTCCCAGTGCTAGAACAGGAGGCACCTGGGCTCTGAGCTGCCAGCCCTGGCTGTGGACCCTGTCCCTTCTGTCTGCCAGCTGATTAACATGGCTAGGGCTAGTCGCCATACTTCTCTGAGTGACACTTTTTTCAACCACGCAGATCATCCTCTAGCTCATATAGGGTAATCTAGTACTAAGTGAGATGAACTATATGTAAGGAGAATATACGGCTAGTGGCTGCTACATCTCTGCTCCTTCTTTGTGCACAGGCATCTCTGTTCTAACATCCTCTGGCCCAGAGGAAGGGATGTCCTATCATTTTAAGCTACTCAGGTTTCCACACCCAGTCCACAATCCAGAAAATGTTATTTAACTGCCACAGGGTTAGGTTACATGCCTTGTGAAGAACTAGCTCACCTACAGTCATTACTACCCAACTCAGTCCTAACTGTCACAGCATATTCCCATGTGGAGAGGTCAAGGCTTCCCCGTTCTGCCTCCTGCAGAGTGATCAAGACCAATCTAAACTCAAAGCCATTACTAAACATATGAGCATATTTAGTATATCTTCTTGGCCTTTGCTTCATTTCTGATGAGCAGCTCTCCCTTCAAGAACAAAATATTTTCTGGCATCCACCTGAGAACAATGCCAGTGCCACAGCATAGAAAGAAATGGTCCCTGGGCCTCTGGAAGACCCATCCATCGCAGGTCCATGCTGAGCAACTGACACAAGGGCTGCTGAGGTCAGCACACTCATGGCTACTTAGAGCACTGTGCAGTTCCCACGGGGCACAGCAAGACAGACCGCAAAGAGCACTGGCCTAGGAGCAAGGAGATCGGGCTTTCAGTTCCCACCTGCCCCTGACCCATCACACAGCTGAGATCAGGCCCTGCTCTGGATGCATTTTCAAGTTAATTATGTATATGTCATAATGTTTAATGGCCTTTGCAGTTTTATAACTCAATGAGGTGTGTGACTTTAAAAAACAATCTTTTTTTTAATAAAAACATCTTAGATAAGCAATGGACTTATCAAAATCAGAAAGTGATGTGTGTGGCAAACCATATTCAGGTAAACTATGGTAGTGTTTGATCAAAATAAAACATTAGCTTTCCACCAGGCAGTGGTGGTGCACACCTTTAATCCCAGCACTCTGGGAGGCAGAGGCAGGCGGATCTCTGTGAGTTTGAGGCCGGACTGGACCGACAGCCTCCAAAACAATACAGAGAAACCCTGTCTCGTAAAAACAACAACAAAAAAATTAGCTTTCCTAGTTAGGGAGGGTTATAAAAAGTATGGCAGCTAGTAGGATAGGACTTCAAGAATTACTTTGTGATGTGTGTTATAGGACAAAACTCATTTCTAGTAGCAAATGGATCAAGTGACCCAGGCCTTGCAGAGCCAGGAGCAAGGCAACCATTTGGGACATGACATCTACTGCCACAAGGAGCTGCTGTCTGTTTCCAGTGTCTGCTTGCTTTTCTCCCTGTTTCTAGAGTCCTCTCTGCCTGACTACAAATCTACAAATTAGTCTCAAAGAAAAGTTGGGTGAGGTTTAGAGGAGCAATGGCTGGTAAAAAGGAAAAGAGGCATTTGATCTCAAGAGGTGTTTAGTGTGTGTATGTGTGTGTGTGTGTGTGTGTATGTGTGTGTGTGTGTGTGTTAAATACTAAATGAGGTTTCTGAGACCTGTTTTCTTGGGAAAGAATGCAACAGCGCTGAGAAGCTACTTGGCAGCCTTCAAAGCAAGAGAGAAAAGATTTTTCTTATGAAAAATTCTTCAATCACTCCACAATGTGGCTCATGACTAAAAGGAAATCAAGAGACCCACAACGGTTCTCCCATTCTATCTTTAATTTGGCTGGTTTACAAACTTAGTTACCCACTTTCAGCCCAAAACGACTTATGGAAGACATCAGTACGATGTGCTTTTCCCAGATAAAGACATGGAGGTCCAGAGAGGTCAAAGACTTGCCTGATGTCACCCAGGAAGGACAGAGGTAGAGCTATGCTGTAAGTTAAGGCTCAGGCTTCCAACCTTACTCCTGGAACGCTTACTGTGAAAGTCTGCCGAGTGGAGCAAAGACAAGTCCTATGCCCTGGGCCATCAAGTCCCGTCCCTGCTGAGGAACAAGCGCTCAGTGAGAGATGCAGGGCATGGCAGCACTTCCATGAGAGCCCTGAAGACAAACACGTTTCTTTTCCTCAGCTTGACAACATTTTCTTTGGTTCAGGCCAGGCAGTTGTAGGGACATAGCTAGATAAGCCAACTTAAACAGCCTTTTCTTTTCACTAGGGAGTGGTACCAAATAAACAGAGACCACTCAGAGTATGAGGCAAGATTCACTAGCTAACACAGATGACTCCTGGGGGCCAAGGAGAGGTGAGTCTGAAATGTGTGTGGTAGTGGCAGAGAATGCATGTAACACTAAGGCTGGACTTTACCTGGGTCTTGACAAAGGACTCTGATAGGTTCCTCTTTACCATCAGGGCTTATGTGTTCTTTCGTGACTTGTTTTCAGGAGTCATGAGAGAAAATGTAAGGAGGCAGATGAAGCCCTAGAGTTGTGGGCCAGTGACTTGGGACAAGGAGTACGGCTCATTTACCCCTGTATCTCCAGCTGGAGGCTGGGAACAACTATTCTGTAAATGTTGAATGAATACATATACTGAGTTGCTATATATAAAAGGGTAATTCACTTTTAGTTAACCTCTTATACTCTGGGCATCTGATTTCATAGGAAGGTAAGAAGAATTTCATTGAACTATTAAAGGAATTCTTTTTTTAAAAAATCTTTCTCACTAATAAGCTGTTCTAAATGCTAGGTTAGTTTCATAGTTATTTTGACAAACATTTTTTTAAAGAGAAAGAAGGGGAAGTCCCAGCAAACCTATGCTACCATGTCATCAATTCCACAGTTATCCAGGGCTAGGCTGGGAGGCTGGCTAGCCACAATGGGCTTCCATTCCAAAGGCACCCACCATACTATCCACCTTTCCTCTGACTAGCAAACATCTGGGGGAATGGATATTGAGCTGAAAACACTACCTTGCCATTGTCTAGGATATACTTGTCCATGACAGGCGCAGGAGCGGGGTAATAGGACGACGTATTTGCTTCCTCACTGAAAGTGCTCCGTAACTCCGGCTCGGGCTCGAGACATTCTGACTTTACTTTTTCCAAGTCAATGGCGGGACCTAGGCAGTTAAGAAAAGAGATCTGTCTACAACTCCAAGGAAAATAAAAGGCAAATATTCTTAACTATGCATCTATCAGCACATAGTGGCACTAAAAAAAAGCTAGCTTATTTTTGTTCTTTATGCTACACTTAAACCCAGACTCCAAAGTACTATGAGGCAATAATGTCACGAAGTGGAATCAGAGGACAAGAATTAACTAGACTTTAGTAATTAAGCATGGCTGAGGGATATCTTCTAGGGTGTCAGTATCTATGCAGGATGGCAGGAGACTCAACTCTCTGCACAGGAGAGTCTGTTCAGACTGCTGGAGAAGGGATGACAATTACTAGAATATGCAAATTTGGGGCCTGCCAGTAATCATCTCTGGAGCCTATGATGGAGAGGGCCATCTGAACGAAAGGAAATGAGGAAAGCTATGGGGAGAAATGAAAAGGACTCCTTCCAGGGACCTAGTATCTGCATTCCAACCAAGAAATTAAAATACGACACAGAGTAAACTCCTGATTGCTTGATGCAGTGATCGTTCATATTTTTATTTTAATGCAATCAACACAAAATATGTGAGATTTAAACATTGAAAGGAACCTGGGGAAAAGGTTGCTGTTTCTAGAGGGGCTCTTTTCTTTTCTCTGCTAGCTTTTAAAATTACTTTTTTAAAAAAATTACCTATTGTGTCATGATTTCGAAAGAACAGAGAAAATGGGCAAATACGGCCAAACAACTCAATTAACTTGCTGGGAGAACAACTTCAAAAGCCTATAGTCCCACATGCTGGCCTTCACTAAAATGGTGGAGCTCTATGTTGCTGGGTTTAACTTGAGTAAGTAATGAATTCAGGGTGCAACTTCTTATCTTGGCCACTTGGATAACTGGGTTCAAAGCTCTTTATTTACTAAATCCTTATGTAATGATCTGGTTGCAACTCTATGCTCAATTGACATATCCTAGATTTTGGCTGATGGAGGGAATGTCTCTGTGAGTTTGCTAGTAGAAGCCCTTATGACAGGTCCTCCCAGAATAAGAGCATCGACCCCAGGGCTGCTGGCAGATACTGCAAGGGAGACTCTCTGCAGTCTCCAAAGATTTAAACCTGGGCTTTCCACAAAGCTGATCACAGAATGGCCCGAGAGCAGAATGACACAGAGAAAAGGGCACACAGCAAGTTGGTACAGATTGCGCCCCATCCCTGGCTCTGCATCTTTTATTTTGGGGACTATAAGTGAATGATCTGCAGATGAAGAAGCTGGTGGAGTGAAGGACAGATAGCATCTTCATCTTAATGGCAGTATCTCCTGAGTGTGCTTTATACAAAGTCGGGCCCAGCTCTTATGTTTCCCCTTATGCCCCAAACCTGGTAGGTGTTCTCCAAATGTTTGCTAAAAAAGAAAGGATCATAACAAAGAATGAGTCTAAAGTTTTGAAAGTACATGTTGGAATTTCTCTACAACAGGTTTGAATTTTCAAGATATGAACAAGTAAAACAATTGATCTTTTCTCAGATCTGGAAAATGCAACTACTCTACTTTCCCTTAAGGGCAGCCTGAGGTGTTTGCTGTCTCCTTCTTCTCTGCTGTTCAGTGACAGAAAAGAGAAACAGGCTGAGAAGGCCACTGCATCCACTGGCTCTCAGGTCATCTGTTCAAAACCCTTGAAATCTCATTTTCTTTTCAAGACAGAAGACATTAGGCAAAGACTTATGTCCCTAATCCCAGCACTCATGCTTGGGAGGATCAGACATTCAAAGCCAGCCTCACCTGGATAGCAAGCTGCAGACCAGCCTGGGGTACATGAGACCTTGTTTCAAACAAGGAGAATTCAAGGAGAACTTCCACGCGACCATGGCATCATTGCTTCTCCTTGTTTACCAACCCTTATACTTAATATTAAGTACCGCACCACGGCCCATGAAGGCTCAGGACAACCAGCCTCTCTCTTTGTCTAGAATTCAGATTTGTTCCTTTGCTGTGTGTTGAGTTGCTCTAGGCCTCTGGACTATTAAATCGGTGTTGAAGGCTGCCTTTCTGCCTGCCCAGTGCCCAGTCAGGTGGCTTCTTTCTGATGCTTTGCTCCAAGGTAGTAGTCTCTCTGTTATAACTTGTAAGCTGTGTGTGCAGCCAACTACCCCGTGTCTTTCTGCAGTATTACACTGCAAAGCTCTTCAAGAGCACAGTTTTACTGACAGTGCAGCTGTAAAGCCTGCTCATGGCAGGCTCTTAGTAAATTCACTAGGACATGAGGGCAGAGAGGTTGAGAGAAGTTTGTCTTTGATGGTGTGCTGCTAAGTAGGGTACTGGAGGAAGACTTGTGAGGAAGGAATGTCTATAACCTTTTGTATAGTCCAAGAAGTAGGAATCCGGGCTAGATAAACTTCAGAAGAAGCTAATCAGAACGGACAGTTCTGGATGCTATGATTATAGACAAAGGACTCTGCATCCATATTAACAGAGACTAGAAAAGCAGGAGTTGAGTGTCATTTCTCTGGCTCAATGTCCTGTTAGCTCACTCTCCTGAGACCCCTTTCTTAGCCCCCACTACACACAAATACCTTTTCTTTGGTCTCAGAGGCTGTGCCTGTACTGTCCCTTTTGTTCAACTGTCCAAATTCCAAGGGCTGACTCAAATGCCACTACTCCCATCAGGCCAGCCCGATCCTTCAAATAGGGGCAATTCTCCCCTCCTTGCAATTAAACACTGGGCTCACATCACTTTTCTAGGAAGCGCTCCACCTTCCTCTGTACCTTCCCTGACTCCATGGAGACTTGGGTGTCTCAATTTAGCTGTGAAGTTGAGGAGAGGCAGGGACTGGCTGGTCTTTTTATGTCAGACACCAGGGCTCATCAGGCGCCTGGTCAAATTCCTATCCCAAGAGATAATTTAGACATCTCTGACCTAACCTAGTCTCACATGAAGGAAAGAATGGCAACAACTTGACAAGATTGAAAACTAAATGAGTTAAAACACACACACACACCATGCGCACACATGGCACCAAGTGGGCACTTAGTAACTAGACCCCTGTCTATTCCTACACATCCACTGTGTGCTTACTTTTGACTCTGCTAGACCATGGATGGACTCAGTGAGTCGGGACGCTGCATAGAGGAAGGCCTTGTAACCATTTCCACCCCTTCCCTGTGCTCAGACTCATGTCTTGAGGGACCAGCAGAGCTGTGTCAAATATTGAGGCTCCTGTACTGCTCTTGAGGCATAGTGTTTCTTACTACCCTGAGTGGGGACAACACAGGTGGCAGTTCTCCGCTGCAGCCTCCTTTCTCTGGCACATTGTATGTACAGAAAACACAAACCAAGGTTGCAGGCTCAGCAAGTGGGGCATCTAGAAAAACCAGCCAAATGCATATCTTGACAAGGACTCTCAGCACACTTGGGTTTGACTCCAGGACAAAAGATCTTAGGAAAGTCACTTCATCTCTGAACCTCAGCTTTCCTACTTACAAACGGGTGACCAAAGGATACCATGCAGGCTGATGATGACTCCCGGAGAGTCGAGGACCGAGGCAGGTAGACAACAGAAGCTCAGAAAATGGCAGATGAATGGGGTATGAATCAGTCAGTAAAGCACGTGTTCAGTGCTACAGAATAAGGAAAGAAAAGGACAAAATCCAACAAAACCACCACCAACAAAAGCCCCATGTTGTTTCCTTGGAGAACAGAGGGAGGGCTCTACTGCTTTTAATTTAAGACATGGTGTGTGTGTGTGGGGGGGGTCCGCTTCATTGCAAATTTTAGTCGGCTCCACTCCCGATGTTGGCAATTTACATCTCATTACGACAAATGCTTCAGATTGCTGTTTTGCTTTTTAAAATTTCTGAGGCATTGTTCTGCCTCAAACACATGTGACCAAATTAGCCACAATAATAAGCACTTGCGCTAGGAGACAACACTACATTCTGGCACAGATATTTTAGGTAACAAAGGAACTTTTTTCATTTTGTGGGAAGAGTAGGAATAAAAAGAAAGGCCTTTTGATCCACTGGCATTCTGGTGGTGACACACACTTGAGGTTTATTTTGGGGAAAATACACCTTCCATGGAGAAAAACCTCTTAGCTAAGTAAAGAAAGCTTTTATAAGGGCAAAAAGGTAGTGCATGTCTCCTCCTTCAGTCATTCATGAACTCAGTTACCACACAAGCTGTGACACACAACCTACTCACCACACAGCTGTGACACACAACCCACTCACCACACAAGCTGTGACACACAACCCACTCACCACACAGCTGTGACACACAACCCACTCACCACACAGCTGTGACACACAACCCACTCACCACACAGCTGTGACACACAACCCACTCACCACACAGCTGTGACACACAACCCACTCACCACACAGCTGTGACACACACAACCCACTCACCACACAGCTGTGACACACAACCCACACAAACCCACTCACCACACAGCTGTTACACACAACCCGCACAAACCCACTCACCACACAACTGTGACACACAACCCACACGAACCCACTCACCACACAAGCACTGACATACAACTCATTTGAACCCACTCACCACACAAGCTCCGATACACAACCCACACAAAGCCACTTACCACACAAGCTCAGTAGGAGACACTGAGGATTCCGGGACAAAAAGAAAATACTTCCGCTTTGGAGAAGTTTGTGATTCATCATGTGAAACACTATTACATCATATATAGGTGTAACAAGCACACAGTAGAGTTAGGCTAAAAAATACGATTTAAATTGTGTGTCCTATATCCTCTACCTCTTAAAGTCCTGGCAATTCCTATTATAAAATGAGGATTGAATCACAGAAGAGAACAGTCTGTTTGTCCAGACCGCAAAGAGATAAAATTGTACTATGCTTTTATCTTAACTGTGAAAAGTTGCCTCTACGTGTAATTTCCAGAGGTCACCTGTGTCTTCAAATCATACACATGTTTGGACATTATCACTTCTGATTTATTTCAAAATCAAAAAGTTCGTGATGTTACTACATTCCTTCTTAAA